GCAACACTCGGACGGGTATGCTTCCCGGCCTCTATCTGACTCAGTTCCCAAAACACTGCTTTTCGTCAGGCTGGTGGCACAGGCCCGCGGTGGGGCCCCGGGACGGAAGTGGGAAGGGAAGGCGGTCCCCACGGAAGGCGCGGCCTACTGGGTGCCCCCGTTACATTTCACCGCATGTGTGAATCTCAGGGTGGCTCCCGTTCACTCAGAACCAAAAGGAGCAGCTTGTTCCAACAAAGCAGCCAGTTGGTTTTGAAGAAAACCTTCAGCCGGCCTGGGTGCTAACCTGAGCTGGAGAGGGTGGGGTCTGGGTGACATGACACACCCAGAGAAGGCAACACATCCTGTGACCAAAGGACTTTGTGCTGCTGAAAATAGAAGGAAGGCCCGATTACTCATGATGACCAGGGTCACTGGCTTTCGAACGCCGTGCTCAAGGAGGAACTGAGGTAGGTGGGAAGCCTGACACACGACATGCTCTGAGTGGGAGGCCCCGAAGCATGCCCAGGTTCTGTTCCCGTTCTGGAATGTTCTTTCTGCCGTGTGTTTTCACCCCACCCAGGGACAGAAAATTGATCACGCTGTCGGAATTTCAGACAACATCCTAGCTACTACGACCATCCTGTTGTGTTTGTGATGGGCTTCAGATCATGAGAGTTTTCTTTTCAAAACGTTTACTTGTTAAGACAGAAAGATAAGTCAGAGAGAAGTTGCGTTGTGTTTTAGGACTATTAGTCTTAGACACACAGCTTGGAAAGCGAGCGCTCCTCTGGCCGCCCACCTCCCTCCTTAGCAAGAGGCTTAGACTTTTCATTTTTAGCCATGACCCTTTGGGAGAGGCTCTGCTCACCCAGTGATGTGGAAGCAAGCTACTTCAACAAAATGTTCAATGGATAAATCACTCTTCCGGAAGAGGAAGTCTCCGCTCTTCTAGTTACTCGCAGCCGAGGTGAGGCTCACAGATGGCTGGGCTGTGGTCCTCACAGCTCTGAGAGGAGCAGCAGCACAGCACCCGGCACTGTCTCTCGTGTGCCCTCCTCTAGATGCTCTGCAGGAGGGCTCGTTGGCTCCTCAAGCCCAAGCATGGGTTGGTTTACAAATAATCCCATTTTTTTTAAAGATTTTATTTATTCATGAGAGACAGAGAGAGAGAGAGAGGCAGAGACACAGGCAGAGGGAGAAACAGGCCCCATGCAGGGAGCCCGACTTGGGACTCGATCCTGGGTCTACCAGGATCATGCCCTGGGCCAAAGGCGGCGCTAAACCACTGAGCCACCCGGGCTGCCCCAATTAATCCCATTTTTAAGACAAAGGGCTGAGGTGGTATGTCCGCCATGCCAGATAAGGGAGAGGCTGAGCAGAGATTCCATCTTAGCCTCTCAGCCCAGGTCTCCTGAGAGGTGCATGGCTGGGACCAATAACCCCACAGTGTCACCCTGCACACATATGAAAGGGTGGTAAAAAGTCTCAAGTGCACATCCAAGCGTTAGACCTTGGCCCCCGCTGGGCATCCCCTAGGCATGTGGCATTTGACGTTAACTGGACTTGCTGGATTCTTAAAGTGTTTAATTGGGTAATCATTCACCTTTTGTGTTTTTTTTGTTTGTTTTTGTTTTTTTTTTTTTGGTGTTTTTTTTTTTTGGACTTGTTTTTTTAAGATTTTATTTATTTGTTTGACACACAGAGAGAGAGAGCACAAGTAAGGGGAGCGGGAGAGAGAGAAGCAGGACCCTGGGATCATGACCTGAGCCAAAGGCAGACACTTAACCAACTGAACCACCTAGGCGCCCCTCATTCACCTTTTGATTAAAAATTTAACCATTTTCACCAGACACTACACGCTGTGTGTAATCTTTATGTCTGTAAGGTAAGACTAACCTCTTGTGGCTGGCCCCATCACAGCTGTGAGCAGGGAGTGAGTATCCTACTAAAGGTGGCCATGTAGTACAGAAAACACATGCTTCTGTGTTAACAGACTTAGTTTTAGTGAGGACGCGGTGTGCGGATATTTATTGAGTGCTTAGTCTACTTAAGACATGAAGTAGAAAAAAAAAAAAAGACACGAGGTGGGAGGTCAGGACCCAGCAGTGCCTGATAGGTATGGGGCTTCCTGTGCAGTGGGACAGACAGACAAGCCCATGACAAGTTGGTTTTCAAAGGAGAACCTCTGGGTGCTGTGGGAGCACCCCGATGGACAACCGGAAGGCTTCCCTGAGAAAGACCTGGCCTTCTCCTCTCCAAACTCTGTGACCTTGAGCAAGGACTACAACAGGCTCTGGAGGGGATCTAATCTGACCCACCGGTCTCAGGGTTAGGAGTAAAGGAAGCTGAAACGTACTGAGCAAAGGCACAGCTTTCTTGTCTCTGCTTCCTCATTTGAAAAATAAAAATTAAGGGGCAGAAGAAGATTTAGGAGCCTCTAAATTCTTTCTTTTTTTCTTTTTAATTTCATGGAGTTGATTTTTTTAAAGAAACATTTATATAAACACCAAATGTGGCCAGATCAAGTTTTCAAGTATGGAGGACAGATGTAATACGTGTTGTCCAGAGAATGTTCCTATAACATTTTATTTTGGCGAATGCAAAGGGATATAATGGGCCTACTCTGTGGGGAGCTTTCTTTGCTGCACAGTGTTGTTGAAACTTCATCTTCAGCTTTTGCCTAACAAAAGCAATAAATGAATGATGACAATTGATAGGAGGTGAAAAGCTCATTTCATGCTCCAGAATACGGGATCTTTGAGCAGAAAAAAACAAAAGTCTACTTTCCAGACTCTTTATTCCCTTTACACTTATGTTTAGATGCCAAAGATCCAGGGGTACTGTGCTGTCGAGGCAACTCCAGGATCATCCCTCTGGGAGCTCCATGGTATTTTACTGAGCATTTGGACCCACGGACATCTCACATCCTGCTCTATCTGCAGCCTCAGCAAGACTTTCAGAGCTACTCTCTGACCCGAGTCAATGAATGCCACACCAACTAAGAAATCGCCAACTTCAGTGTCAGCCATGTAAATTGTCTAGCTTAATGTCTCCATGAAAATGTGTCCATTATGGACTTGTCCATTCAAAAACTTGTAAAGAGTTTAGGTAGCACGGGAGGTGATGCATCACCTTTTGAGAGGATTGCAGAGGTTGGTGACACTGAAGACCCCAAAGAACTTTTGTTTACTTGGGCTGATTCCGCCAATACTTGCCATGTTAGAAATTAAACTTATTACAAGTATTCACAATAATATGTATTTATTTATTTAAAAATCATAGTGTAACATAACATTTTAATGAAGACTATGAAAAATTTTAGAACGAAAAGTATGAATCTCATCAGTACCTGGCATGATAGAAGACAGCTGGATCCTCATGCCTGCTCCGTCTTCCATCTGTCATGATAAGTTATTTTAAATCCAACTGCACATAGAGATATAGTCAGAAGAGGGAGGAGTATTTTGATGGACTTTTTAGAAAACCATAGATATGGTTTTCTCCTTTGATGCTACACCAAAACTCAACAGAGGGCCATTGCTTAAAGGTCGGTTGTGATGTGAAATCTGAAGCTATATGAGCGAATTTTTCCTTCTCTGTGACATCAAAACATTATTTTGGTCTCCCTTGCTGTGAATGGACCGCTCACCCAAGCATGACTTTGTAACATCAAATATTGGACACGTAAAAGACGCCGGTTCACTGAATTGTGTGGCTCTTCCAAAAGCTGATAAATTCACTATAAACATTGAAAACTCACTTTTGTAAATACTGCCACCAATCTCATCAGAAAAGTATGTAAGTATCGGGGAGCTAGTGAGCCCAAGTTGGCAGATAGCAGCAAGTTTTCCAAGATTCCCATCTTCACTGGAAAGCTCAAATTTTATCATTGGCAACAAATACTGTCAGTTGTTTTCCTTGAAGTGACAGACTCACTTTATTCATTTTGGAGAAGATGTTGCCAAATACTCAATGCTGAATAACCGTGGTTGGTTAGTCATTCTTCCAAATAAAAATTCCATGAAAAAGGCAGCAGAGCTCACAATTCAGTGAATCACACAAATGCTTTTCCTGGAGACTATCCTGTACTTGAGTAATGCAGCAAACAAGCTGTAAGCATATCTTTGTTTTGATCAAAAGTGTTCCTAACTAAAAGTGGTCTTTTTTTAAAAAAAAATCTGCTGCAAGTGTGTGGTGGCAAAGAATGCAATGTCTAGTGCAATTTGATGTGTACAACTTGATTTGTGTTAAGGTGTAAGCAATTTTACCACCGTTGCCTTTCCTCCATTCATTCAAGTATCAACCTAGTAGAAAAGACAACATCTTAGTATTATAATGAAAATAGTTCTGACCTCATAGACCTTCCGTGGGAGTCTCAAGAACCCCAGGAGTCTGGGATCATTCTTTTGAGAATGGCCTCTGTGGATATTTTCCATCAAAAGTCTGTCGTGTGAGAATAACTGAGCTGAATGAAGCTTATTAAGTCAATGTCACAAACCTGATTTTTGATCTTTCCAATGATTAGGTTTCAGTGTAGGACTGATATCCAGGAGTTGAAAGGTTCTGGATCTTTAAGAAAACCTTCTAATTAGTTTGTTACTATTCACTTCTCAGTGGGTGAGTGTCTTTGGGCCCTTGGGCAAAGGCCCCTTCCCTAAGAGGTGATCCATAGAGACGAGTCAAGAACTGGACCAGTCAAGTTTGATGATCTGGAGTTTATCTTTCTATTAAAAATAATTTTGATAGTTGCTCGTTGATTTAGAGAAAATCAGCTCATCATTTCATGGGTCCTCAACAAGGAAGTTTGAAGTCAACATTTCCAGTGCGTCTGGGTTGCATCTAGTCTATGGGGCCCCTACTATCATTGTGTGGGTTCACCTCCACGACTTTGTCAATCTCCGTGTGTTTACGACCCAAGGCCCTGCTCCATAAATTACAATTAACTTTCTTTCTGAGGGCTTCATGATGTTTTTACAAAAATTCAAATTTTTGCAAGACATTTACAATCATAATTCCTTTGTCTTAAAGACCTTGCCCTGAATTAATGGGAAGTGTATCTAGTGATATAGAAATAAGCTGTCTTCCACATATGGAATCTGATTTTTGGCTTTAAAATCACAAATCAGTTCCTGTTGGAGTGGATACTCCCTCTGGGAGGTTCACCCAAAGTCCCCTAGCATGAGATTTTCATTAGATCTTGAGGGAAATCTGCTTCTAGAATGTTCTCTGAAAGCTCTGGCTTCTATAAATTTAGTTTTCTGCCAAGGTAATCCATAATTTTCTTTTTTTTTAATCTTTAAATGCAGGAAATGAAGAAAACAAAGAAAGGATCATTTTATTGACTTCTTACACAGCAGAAAATGTTTTTTTTAAAAAAATATTTTATTTGTTTACTAGAAAGAGAGAGAGAGAACACAAGCAGGGGACCATCAGAGCAGGCAAAATGAGAAGCAGACTCCCCACTGAGCAGAAAGCCCATAGTGGGGCTCTATCCCCGGACCCCAGGATCATGACCTGAGCTGAAGGCAGACACTTAACCAACTGAGCCCACCAGGCGTCCCGCAGAAAATGTTTTTAATGAATCTGGGCTGGGTTTTGAATCTTCAGGCATGAACCCTGGGCTTCCCAGCCTCCAGAACCCTGAGAAACAAGTGTCAGCTATTTCAGGACCCGAGTCTATGGCCTTTTATGACAGCAGCCCTAGCTGACCACGACAGGCTCTTTGGAGCCACTCAGCTACAGAGCCCGGGGGAACGTGAGCAGAAGCAAGGCTCTGAGGTCACTGCTTTCCAGAAGCACCGGTAGGTAAGTAGCAGCTGGTGCAGGAAAGCAGTGAACTGACTGGTGACCGTGGAGCGGTGTGGAGGGAAGAGGCCAGCAGCTAACCCCGGGTGTGTGTCCTCCAGGTGAGGATGGATTGTAGCAAAGAAGGAAATCTTTGATTTGAGAAATCACGGCAGCTCCCCAAGTGAACCAGCGAGCCCCCCAGCTGGCTCCCGTCCAGGTGGGTCTCTGTGGGAAGGAAGGAGGGGAGGAGAGTGCTGGGCCCTGGGCCAGGCGGGGTCAGGGCTCTGAGGGGCTGGGGGGCATCGCCGGGGGCCCAGGGAGGGGCTGATCCAGGAGGGTGGAAAGCCATCGCGCATGACTCCTTGTTGCTGAAGACCCGACCCCCACTGAAGGATCCTCTTTCCCTTCAGGCCTGCGGTTTGGGGGAGCCTTGGGGCAGCAGGGGCAGGGCAGAGACACAGCGGGCAGGTGCTCCTGGGCGATGCAAAGCCCTCCCTGAGCATCGTCGCTGAGCGGATGGCGGATGGCGTAGCCGACCTTTGGGGGAGTCTCGCTACGGGAACTGAGTGAGTGACCTTCTGTCTTGGGAAGACAGACGCCCGGGGGGCTCTCAGGGCTGGGGACATGGGGAACAGCCCGCTGGCCTCCCTGAGTGAGCCGCAGGCAGGGCGGCTGGGGGCGCACGTGGGGAGCCTGCTCGCACCCCGACTCCTCCATGGCTGAGGCATCATTCCCATTTTCTGGGGGTGGACTGTGCATAAACACTCCGCTAATCAGATGTCAGCAACCCATTTTTAGACAACATGAAACACATCGGGAAAAAAGAGAGAGAGAGAATAATGTGCCAAATGCTCCTGCTCCCACCACTCAGAATTTAAAATGTTAGAAGTCTTTGCTCAACCTCATTAATCACCAGGGAAACGTACATCAGGACCACAGTGACATGCCACTTCGAACCCTCTAGTCCGGCTGCAATCGAAGGGTCAGACAATAGTCGGTGCTGGAGAGGTTGCAGAAAAATTAGAATTAGAACCTTCCTGCACTGCTGGGGGGATCTCGGAATGGTGCAGCCACTTTGAGAAACAGTCTGGCAGTTGCCCAAACAATGAAACAGATTTACACACAGCCCAGCAGCTCCAGCCCTATAGAGACACCCAGGAGAACTGAAAGCACACGTCCACATAAAAGCTTGTGTGTGAGTGTCCATGGCAGCATTATTCGTGATCTCCAAAAAGGTGGAAACCATCGAAACGTCCATCGGGTGATGGATACATCAAGAAGATGTTGTCCATCCCTACAAGGGAACGTGATTAGGGCCCTAAAAAGGAATGAAGTTCCGACCTGCTACGACATGGACGGATCTTAAACACGTGATGCTCGGTGACAGGAGCCAGACACCAAGGCCCGCACGTCACCTCATTCCACTCGTGTGAGATGTCCGGAATCGGGAAACCCGGAAAAACAGAAAGTGTTTGCTTGGAGCAGAGAAGACAGTGATGGCTGAAGGCACAGGGCTCTTCCTGAGGTGGCGGAAATGCTCTAAAAATCGACCGTGGTGATGGTCGCACGTCTCTGGGAACAGAGGAAAAAGCACTGAGTCGAATGCGCTCGTGGGTTGTACGGTATGTGAATTGTAGCTCCATTAGGCTACTTAAAAGTCCGCGATATTCTTCTCCAACGTTTTTCATATGAAAGGACCAAAATGTTACGAAACACGTGGAAGTCCCCTTTCTCTCCCTCCCTTCCTCGTCGTGAGCGAGGATTCCCTTCCAGTCTGCTCTAAAGCACTGTTCCATGTCATGCCCCTCTCTCCCCTTCCTCATTAACCACATGCAAGAGCGCTGGGAGATGGTGCCATGACCACCTCCATTTGACGGATGAGCAAACTGAGGTCACACAGGTCAAAACTGAGCTTCCCCCCGGGGTCAGAGAGCCAGGCTGACCAGGGCCGGGTGCTCCTGTTCCACGTCCGTGTTACAAACTCTACGCCCGCTCCCGCTTCCTCCAGCAAGCGTCTTTGGCCAAACCTCACAAATGATCCCACTGATCTGAAAAGAATATCGCAAATCACATTAACAGGGAAATCTGTTGCTCGCAGAAATCCCAAAACATCTCTGGTATTTTCCAGGAAACATTTTTAGAATCCCAAGGTGATTTCCTAAGTCCTTGTCTAAAAGGTGAAAAATCGCTATGCCGAACAGCTCGAGCAGACGGTCGAGATTTCTTCAGCACAACTCACCTAATTCTCACGTCCCAGACCCACAAATGTCACAAATCTCCCTACAAGTCTTGAAAATGTTACTACTTTCGTAGGCAAAGGATGAAGAACAGAGAGGAGCTGAGATGCTTCGCATTTCAGATACTCCATCACGATAAGGATGGACCTTCTGGGAGCCGTGAAGCAGTTGCAGAAAAAGAGACAGGTCGACAGAGAAACTTCTGGAAGGCCCACCGCGGGGAGCCTCTGATCACCCCCCCACTCCTGCTGCTCACTTGATTTATTTATTTTTCTTTTTTCTTTTCTTGATTTATTCATGAGAGACCCAGAGAGAGAGGCAGAGACACAGGCAGAGGGAGAAGCAGGCTCCATGCCAGGATCCCAGTGCGGGACTCGATCCCAGGACCCCGGGGTCACAACCTGAGCCAAAGGCAGACGCTCCACCACTGACCCCCCAGACGTCCCACTGCTCGCTTTCAGAAACCAGCCTCTGAGCCTCGGGGATGAGAGCTGGGCCCACCGGCCTTGTGGGGCCCCAGTATCTGCAAAGTGTCACAGGAGACCCAGTGATGGACGACACCTGGCCCTTGCCTTCAGCGCAATATCCTTATTAACTGATGTTGAGTGGTTTCCTATGGAAAGTCGGCCCATAATAGTGAAAAATAGCAGGGTTTTTAGATACTCTTTAGACCCAGGAGGGAACAGAGATGCACAAACTAACTGGGGCACCTCAGGCCGTGTGGGAGTGTGTTTGGTGGATGAGCTTCGCTCGGGGCAATCTAGGTGTGAACCTCCCGGTTGCAGGTCGAATTATGGAAGTCCCAGAAAGAGATGTGGAAGTCCTAACCCTGGCACCTGTGGATGTGGCCTTATGTGGAAATAGGGTCATGGCAGGTGTGATGAGTTACGAGGACGTCAGACTGGACGAGGGTGGCCCTTAATCCCATATGGCTGGTGTCCTTGTAAGAAGGGGGAAGGGAGCTGGTGGAAACGAGGCAGGGACTGGAGGGACGTGGCCCCAGCCAAGGGAGGCCTGGGGCCCCAGGAGCCGAGGGGTCAGGGAAGGACCTCTCCTTCTCTTTGTTGAGCATGGGGTCCTGGACCTGGGCCTCGCCCGCCCTTGCTTTTCTAGGCTGGCTCATGCTCCTGAGCCCTGGCCTACTCCGTCTACACCAACCCAGCCTGGCTTCACCCGGGGCCCCTCGGAGGGCCGCCGAGCTCTTGGGCTTCTGCGGCGTCTCCCTGAGAGGCTCTGTCAGCGACGGGACGCAGAGTTGAGTTGCCCCCACCTCCTGAGTAATCCCAGGGTCTGAGTCGAGGGTCCAGACAAGGAGCCCCAGACCTGCGGACACTGGTCAGCTGTTTCTAGGACCCCAAGAGGTCGTGGGACCCCAAGCCACCGTGCCCTGGCCCCAAGGAGCCTCCTGGCCTCAGCAATCTCCAGCCCCTGCTGTTTCCTGGCCCCCTGCAGCTGTCTCTTTCCAGAACTCTGGTTCCAGGGTTTGTTCAGGCCCCTAAGGCTGGGACGGTGTCTGGGACCTTCAGGCCTCCAGGCCTCTCTGAGAGGTTCTACCCTTGATGAGCCTCCTTCTGGCAGGAGGCGCCCACCCCGAGCCTGGGGCCTTGCTCACCCTACTGTGTGTGTAGAGCATGACCTGAGAGCTCCAGCAGGGCCAAGGGTCCCCGTGAGCTTCGTGATGCCCCGTGTCCCATCCCGAGGGGACACACCTCCCGGCGGAGGAGCAGCAGCCAGCGAGGCCACGGCAAGGCCAGCACACAGGTCATCGGATCTGCTGGATCTAATGACATGTGTTACGTGTCTTGTCATCCTCATTTTCCAACTTTCTTATTTAGTGTATTTTACAGAACTCTCGGGCCATGATGAACTGAAAACAAGAAACAAAACTGGCCCTAGACCGCAGCAAGTCTGGAAGCAAGCAGGTGTCAGAGGCACTGGGTCCCTGGGGCATGACTACAGGGGCCTGGCCCCGTGGGGCCCCATCCTCTGGGCCTGGAGCCGAGTGCCCACCACAGGACCCATCCCGTGGACGTGAGCTGGTGAGGGTTCAGGCGGGGGGGTGGGGGACTGGAGGTGTCCCAACTGAACACGGATCTTCCCTTTGCACCACCTGTCATCCCTCCCCGAGGCCCCCCTCACCCCATCCCCCCCAAACACACACACAGCTGAGGAGTGACAGCCTGGGGACTTAGGGAGGAGCCAGGAGGGGGTGGGGGGGTGTCAGGGAAGCTGGCCTTGCTCTCACTGGGTCAGGGTCTCACGTCCTAGCCTTGGCCCCTCTCTGCCACCCCTGCGCTCCCCAGCCTGCCTGCTTGCCTGTGACCTGAAGGGGCTGCCCCGGCCCAGGGGTCAGCGCCAAATCCGACCAGGCACCTGCTTTTGAAAAGGAAGCTTTATTGGACCCCGGCCGCGCCTGTGCTTTATGCAGGGTCTGTGCCCGCCCAGCGCAGCAGGGTTGAATAGTTGTGTCAGCCTGCGGCCTGCGAATCCCCCGGTGGTGTTCACTGGGACCCCTGCCCCCTCTCTGGATGAGCCCTTCTCTACGGGAGCAGCGCCGCCGCCTTGCGGGCAATTTGGAAATGGCACGTCTGCGGCGCCCACGAGGTACTCAGGATAATGTCCTGTTAATACAAGCTCCGGGTCACGCCTGAGACTCACACAACATTGTAGCCGACTATACACTAATAATAAAAAATATATATATACTTAAATGAAATAAAAATAAAATTAAAAAAGCAAAATAAAAAATGGGACGCCTGGGTGGCTCAGCGGTTAAGCATCTGCCTTCGGCTCAGGGCGTGATCCTGGAGTCCCGGGGTCGAGTCCCAGGTCGGGCTCCCTGCGTGGAGCCTGCTTCTCCCTCTGCCTGTGTCTCTGCCTCTCTCTCTGTGTCTCTCGTGAATAAATAAATAAAATCTTTAAAAAAAATAAGTAAATAAATACTCAAAAAATAAAAAGAAATAAAAATGAAATCTTGCCATTTGCAACGGTATGGCTGGAACTAGAGTATATGGGGCTGAGGGGATGAAGTCAAAGACAGATCCAAGTGATTTCACTCATAAGTGGAGTTTCCGAAACAAAACAAATGAGCAGAGGGGAAAAGAGGGAGACACGAACCAAGACACAGACTGTGAACTCTCCAGAGCCCACTGAGGGTCACCAGAGGGGAGGTTGAGGGCGGGGGTGGAGATGGGGCAAACAGGTGCTGGGGGGGCATTGAGGGGGGCACTTGCCGTGAGGAGCGCTGAGGAAGGTATAGGAGAGCCGAACCACTATACGGGGCCCCTGAAACCAATATTAACAGTGTGTTAACTAGCATTTAAATAAAGACTGCAAAAAAGAAAAATGTAGTTTTTTAAGAAACATATTTTATTTATTTATGCATCAGAGACACACAGAGAGGCAGAGACACAAGCATAGGGAGCCCGATGCCAGACTGGATCCCAGGATCCCGGGATCCTGCCCTGGGCCAAAGGCAAGACAGCCAACCGCTGAGCCACCCAGGCGTCCTGAAAAAATTTACCTTTTTAGTTCTTGTAGTCCCAGTTGATGCAGAATTAAGGCATCGTACTTATCATTTTGAGATTGGGAGCACAAGCAGGTGGCAGTCTCCGGGGGCGTCCCTAGGGAGGCTCTGAAGGGTAATCTCAGCCCATCAGGGCGTCTCCAGCCCCGGGACAGACTCCGCATCCGCGTCCGCATCCGCATCCCCGCGGCCGTGTCAACGCGGCACCACGAGAGGGCAGCATAAGCCCGTGCGTGTGGCCAGAGCTGGACCTCGCACTGGGGACCCGGGCAGAGGAGGGGAGGGGGGCTCCGAGAATCTTGGGGCTGGTGCGGGGCTCTCAGGAGTCAGGGGCCCCAGCGCGGGGGTCCCAACCCTGGAGGGGCGATCCTAGGGTCCTGGGGGAGCAGAGTGTCCCCAAACCCCTCCACCCCACCCTACCCACCCCCTGTGTTTCTGGAGATGCTCTTGTCCTCAGAGATGCTCCTTCACACGGTGCTCGGCCTTCCCCCTCCCTCCTGCAGGCCCGGTGCTCATCTGCATCCTCAAGGTTCCAGGAAGTCCGGCAACAGAGAAATGTGCCCCCTTCAGCTCAACTGACCCTTCCCCCCATGTCCCTGACGTGCGGGTGCGTTCCTGAGGACTCTGTGTGGGTTACGATGACTTACACCTCCAGGCAGGCCTTGGCAAAAGCCGACTTGGCATTTGGGGGGAGGCTCCTTTTTTAAAAAAGTTGAATTCTCGTTCATTTGCAAGCCGTCTTTGCCGGAATGGGGTTTGATTCCACCCAGCAGAGCGCCTCCCCCTGCGGGACTGGGAGGAGCAGGGGTGGAGAGGGGTGTGCCAAGAGGAGACTGGGGATCAGAGATTCTTTTTTTTTTTTTTTTTTTTACTGATTTATTTATTTATTTATTTATGAGAGAGAGAGAGAGAGGCAGAGGCAGAAGAGGGAGAAGCAGGCTCCCTGCAGGAGCCCAATGCAGGACTCGATCCCAGGACCCCAGGATCACAACCTGAGCAGAAGGCAGCCGTCCCACCGCTGATCCACCCAGGGGCCCCAGGATCAGAGAGTCTAAGTACACTGGGGACCCATCCGTCAGGCCTGTGGGCGAGTTTGCTTGTCCTGATCCCTGGGTCTCCCTTGGGCCCCTTGTCTGGGGAAACTGGTTACCCGAAAAAGCAGCCAAATGTTGATCATTATAACCCAACAGAGTCATTGAAGAAATGCAGAGGCCCCACACCTCAGGCTCTTCCTCTCCATGTGAGTCGGCGCATCTCCCTGCTGGACCACAGGCTTCTGGGCCGGAGGCTGGGAGAGGGGACGGCAGTAGGGTCCTCCTCTCCGTCCCCCACCCCGCCCGCCAGCCTGAGAACACAGCCCCCCGCAGTAGGACCACATCGCTGGGTGAATGCAGCCAGAGGAAGCACGAGCCTCGGAGCAGCTGGATCAACCTCACGCCTGGGTGACGCAGAAGATCACCTGCCACGGAGACACCCAGCCCTTGAGTGTCCCCTTCGTCATTAACAAGTGTCACCAACTCACATTTGTGCCAAAATCCTTTTAGGTGCCACATGTGCTACATCCTTGTAGATTCTGGGTGTCGGAAGCCCCCTCTCCCCCCTACCTCACCCACGGACCTGTGACAACCTCAGCTACATGATTGTCCCACTTTGTGTCACCGGAGGCCCTGAGATCAGGCCACCTCCTTCACGCAGCCCTCCACAGCGCCCTTGGCCGCACACCCTCAGCATTTTATTTGCATTGTGTGGGCACGGTCATCCCCCCACCAGGACAGGCTGGTGGCCCTGGATCCTTCTCGCACAGAGCAAATGGACTAAATTAAGCATGCATCAATGAAATTATCTGCTTCCCCTGAAACTAGGTGACCTCTGAGCGGGGACACATTCCTCACAGCTGCCCAGAAGCAGCTGGAGTGTTGACAACCCACAGGAGGATGTGGCCAGGCCCACTGTGGGCAGGCGGTTCTCAGGTCCTGTCAGGAGTCAGCGGCGAGGCGCTGGCCTGCTCCCCTTCCCGCCTGGCCGGCCTCCCTGGGAAGGGTCCCACCTCCTGCAGGGTGCCGGCCCCTCTGGGCCCTCGGCCCCTGCTTGGGGCAGCCCTTCCCTCCCTCGGCCCGGCGCCCCCGCATCCCAGTCCTGCCTTCCTCTGCGGCCCTTCCTGCTGCCCGCAGCCCCCATCCCGCCCGCCTTCTGGAATGTTCCGCAAAAGCAGAGGCCGGGCAACTCTCATTCCACTCCCAGCTCGGAGTGGAAGTTCAAGAGGCTCTTCAGGGAGTCTGGTCAGAGAAGTCTCGGGAAGGCACGGCCTGCAGACCCCAACCTGTCCAACCCGCCTCCTCTCCCCTAAAACCTCTCCTCGGTCTCCCCGAGCAGCTTCCTGCGTCTCACCCCTGGGCACACCTGCGGCCCTGCTGCCTTCACCCTGCCCTGCCCACTGCCCGGCTCTGCACAGCCTCCGCACCCCTGCCCCTTGCATCCCTGCTTGGCCTGGCTGTAGGGCTCAGCCACCCAGGGTCCCTGCCACACCCTGGCCAGGACCAGGTGCCACCCTGCCTGCCCCTCCCGCCACCTTCCTGAGCATCGTAGCTAGATGCAGCCCCCGGCGTGCTGCTGGGGACACTCTGCAGGCTGCGGCTGTCCCTCCTGGTCTTCCTGTAGGCCACCTCCCCCCTGCACGGCCTCCAGAGCGCCGGCTTCGGGCCCTCACCCCTGCCAACCAGCCCAGCCCAGGTGTGTCCCCCTGCCTGGCCAGGTCCCACGCTGCCCTGCGGACAGAAGGTGGCAGGGGGTGCCCCCCAGTCAGCAGTCAGCGTTCCTAGACCTCACTTCTGGGCGTGCACGCTTGGCTCTACGCTCACCCTCAGGTTTGAACCTTCACTTTGTCCATCTCAGGAGGTGACATTTATAAAAACCCCCTTCTTCTCTGCCTTGAAGAGTGGCAGCCACGGCTGGAACCGGGTCACTGCCTCCTGAGAAGCACAGTCCCCAGCAGCAAGGCCCCGGAGCCCTGCCCCATAGCTCTCCCCCTACCTCCTCCCCTTGGAACTCCCCGCCACCCCGAGCATTGCTTCCAGAACCCAGCTCTCTGGCGCTGGAAACTGAGACATAAAAGTCAATTACTTTATTGGGCTTAAAAAAATGAAAAGCAACCAGCAGACAGGATTTGTTTCCTAATTTATTTTCGGAACGAGTTTTCACTTGGTATTGATTGTCGCCGGTCTGGGGGTTGGGGAGGTGGTTTGAGATTTGTGTCCTGGTCCCTCTGGAGCCTGGCACAACAAAGGCCATGCATGCATCTCCTTGTTTGATAATGAATTCATTGTTTCCCCCCCTCTCCATAAAAAATGGTCACCAATTTATTAATATAATCAAAATTGAAAATCTCACCAATGTCTTTTTTATAGTTGGTTTGTTTGAATCAGAATCTAAAACAAATGTTAGATATATTTCCTGGATCTACAATGGTACCCACATGCTTCTCTTTCTCTCTCTCTCTCTCTCTTAACAACTATTTTTTGAAGAAACCAGATCATGTGTCCTATAGAATTTTCCACCTTTGCACTTTGCACCATGAGAATTCATTGTTGGGCAGCCCAGGTGGCTCAAGCATTTTGGCGCTGCCTTTGGCCCAGGGCCTGATCCTGGAGACCCGGGATCTAGTCCCACGTCAGGCTCCTTGCATGGAGCCTGCTTCGTCCTCTGCCTGTGTCTCTGCCTCTCTCTCTCCTCTCTGTGTATTCTCAGAAATAAATAAATAAAATCTTTAAAAAAAATAAATAAACATCATAGTCATAAAAAAAAAAAGAGAATTCATTGTTTTTAAAAGGAAGTAATGAGGAAGCATCTCAAGAAGCTGGCGATGTCCCCCACCCCCACCCCTCCAATGGAATATTCTCCAAGGCGCTGCCCATCCTCCCTCGGATCAGAGCATCCTTGGGCAGGTGAGTGTGAGCTGTAGGTTAATATGAGGCTCCCTTAATCCCTCCTAGAGTGGAAACCTGTTTGCATTGGGAGCAAACTTCCTTCCGGGGCCTGGCGGCTGGGGGTGGCCACACCAGCTCCTCCCACCCTCCTCCCCTTTGATGGGATTACTGGGGCCTGCGGAGGATCCATTTCACCTAATAGGCTCTGACCGTTGGCCTTTGGCGGGGTCACCTCGGAAGCCTCCCAGGGCCCGAGGCGAGAAGCCTTTCTTTCTTCTTGAAAAATTATTTCTCATACTCGGCGTAAGTTCTGTCTCGATGGGGATGTTTCATAGGTTTGCTGCTCTTGGGGATCATCAACCTCTGAATAAGTTCATCCTTCTCTCCAAGAAACTCGAGGGAGGTGGATTCTTTTTATTAGTGTAATTATTTTTTGGTGTCCTTCCTGTGGGGTGTTCAGTGTCTGTATTTGATGTATTCGAATGAACACGGGGGAGTTAGTTCTATGAGCAATGACCCCTAAGGAGCCAGCATCGCGGTAATGCAGCAGACCCGTCTCGGAACGCTGGGCATGAGGACGGCGTTGGGGTCACAGGTGGCTCACAATATTCGGAGTACGACGATGTCTTATTCGAATCCACATGCCGTGAATATCGGAGGCCGCTGAGTGGGCCCTGGAGGGACGTGAGGACCAAACCCTGCGGAGGCCGTGCGCTCATGCACCCATGGGTTCCATCTGTCCCCTGGTCCGAGCTGGTCTGAGCAGGTGCCACGTGGCCCCGGAGCCCTCTCCTGCCCCCCTCACTCAGGAGAACCTCCCCACTTGCTCTACGTCCCTTACGCCTCTTCACGGACTCCCTAGTGCTTTATCTCTGATTTGTCCGATTCCCCCTCTCTCCCTTCCTTCTCTAAAATCTAAGTTCCGTGAAGGCAGACCCAGGGCTGAATGCACCTGCTACCACCCCGGGCTCCTAGTCGGCGCCCACGGCGGCTGCTGGGGTGAGTGGGGGATGAGAGAGGATTTGGGGTCTGGCTCAGATGGTTTGGCATCTCAGCCCTGCCCTGCAGGCTCGGGGTGGCCGGTAAGCTGCTCCAGAGCCAACTGTGGGTCCTGCTGGATTGTGAGGGGTGACAAGTTCCTCCTCCCCAGGTCCTCAGAGGGCGCAGGGCAGAGAGGACAAGCTGAGAGGTGTGTCCACGTGCGAGTGGAGGCCAGGGCCGGGGAGGCCTCCGGAGGACTCATCTCCTGGGGAGCTCTCCCTAGATGCCCAGGGCACCTGGCACGCAGCTGGGCACGCTTGTCACACGATAGTTGGTCTGGTCAGTGCTGTCGATCGGTGCCTCTATGAGCACAGGTGCGGGGTCTCATCCACCTCCGTGTCCCAGATGTCCAGTGGGGGGGCATGCAGGAGGCCCCCCCCAGCCTGTGTTGATTGAGTGTGGGCAGCCCTGTGGCAGCAGGACGGGGTGCCCGCCTGTCCCCGTGCACCGGGTCCCTGCGGGGTGGGGAGAACTGTGAGGACGGGGAGCCGGAGGCCGGGCATCATTCAATCACAGCCGGGCACCCACAGCAGAGTCCTCACCTCCACCTGCCACCCCAACCCTCGGGCGGCTCCCAGGTGGTGCGCAGCCGGCAGACACCCTGCCGCTGGGACAGTACCTCCCAGCTTCCCCTACAGACAGAGTCTAAGTAAAAATTGCTAGAGAAGGGATCGGGCAAAGGCTCACTCACTGGGTGAAATGTAATTCTGTGACTGCCCGCCGAAAACTGCCCGTGCACCTGACACCAGGGTTCGAGAAGACTGTGGGCAACTTCCTGGGTGGCACAGAACCCCCCCCCCCCCTCCAACCAGTTCCACTGTGAGGAGCTGCTCTACACAGGAATGAATGCAGGTTTGTTTTTGGTTTTTTTTTGTTTTTTGTTTTTCTTGTTTTTTTTGGGGTTTTTAAAAAGATTTTATTTATTCATGAGAGACACGGAGAGAGGCAGAGACACAGGCAGATGGAGAAGCAGGCTCCATGCAGGGAGCCCCATGCGGGACTCGATCCCAGGACCCCAGGGTCACTCGATCTCAGGACCTGAGCTGAAGGCAGATGCTCAACTGGATGGAGCCACCCAGCCGTCCCGAGGTTTTGGAATAAAAAACACAAAACCACAGAACTGTGTTTTTCAAGGCTGGAGCCTCTGGCAGCCCATCTTTATTACATACACGTATTACATGTATATTCTTATATAGATAAAATTTATATTGTGTCTAAGTATATCGGTAACATATATGTGATAAAGATGGACTAGAATCAACTGGTTTTGCATATGTAAATCTACAATAAAACAACAGCACACATAGGTCTACACGCGCTGTACCGGCGTCACAGCTATACTCTTAAATGCATAATTTATTTAAGATGTTTAATTTAGGGGCAGCCCCTATGGCTCAGCGGTTTAGCGCCGCCTTGGGCCCAGGGCATGATCCTAGAGACCCGGGATCGAGTCCCACGTCGGGCTCCCTGCATGGAGCCTGCTTCTCCCTCTGCCTGTGTCTCTGCCTCTCTCTGTGTGTCTCTCATGAATAAATAAATAAAATCCTAAAAAAAAAAAAAACGATGTTTAATTTAAGGGGCGCTTGGGGGGCTCAGCAGGTGAGCGTCTGCCTTCAGCTCAGGGCGTGATCTCGGGGTCCTGGGATCGAGTCCCACATCGGGCTCCCCGCATGGACCCTGCCTCTCCCTCTGTCTGTGTCTCTGCCTCTGTGTCTCTCGTGAATAAATAAATAAAATCTTTTTTTAAAAAGATGTTTAATTTAAAAACACGGTTATCCTGTAGGCTGCGGTGATATTAACCCTGGTGATGGGCTCCCTTACTCCAAATCTCAGAACCAGCAGATCTGTGGCCTCCAGTGTAAGCCCCCACTTAGATCAACTTTGTGTTGGGTGGAATTTGTCTGCTACCACCCTTCAGGGAACAGAAGGCAAAAGTGCAGCATCACTGGGGGACAAGGAGGCTGGGATGGGATGCAGGGGCATATCAGAGAAGGCTTCTTAGAAGGTGATGTGATGGCCAGTGGGAGCTAGTCAGCCAGGTAAGGGAGGGAAGGACATTCAGGTAGAAGGAGCTGCAGGTGCAATACCACTGAGGTAAGGGGCAGGCAGAGAGAACGTGGCAAGCAGCAGGGAGGCCGTGGTGGCCGTGGGCCCAGGACAGCAGGGGATGGTGTGAGCCACAGAGGGACGTGGAGGGGGAGCACAGGCCGTAAGTCGGCAGAGGAAAGAAGATGGAACTGACGGGCTCTGGAGGGGATTGGGGGGAAGAGGCAGGACAGGAGCCCCTCCTGGTTTCTTGGGGGTGGGAGGGAGGGGGTGCTGGTGGGTGGTGGGCCCTTCACTTGGAAGGGGGAGCAGGTGTGGGCCAGTGGGGAAGAGCTGGCTTCCGGACAGGCAGCATTTAGGGGCATTTGGGACATTGCAGGGACTCCATCCAGGAGCCACTTGGCTAGGCCAGCCAGGAGCCCTGAGAAGGGCCTGGCCGAGGCTTGGGGAGCCGCACATCTGGGGACAGGTAGCAGGGGAAGGCATGGGAGGGGTGTGCTGAGGAGCCCGGAGCACAGGGAGGGGACCGGTTGAGGGCTGGGCCCAGAAATCACAGCCCCTCCTCCTCCAGGGGGACCCTCCGCCTCGTTTTGGGGCTGGAAGCAGCTCCCGGACACCGTAGCTCCGGGTGGGGCAGAGTGGGACGCACTCTGCAGCCCCCCCCCCAGGAACATCCCAGCGTGGGGCGCCTCCTCTCCCCCCACCTGACTGCCCGGGAAAGATAAAGGCCGAAAATCTCCCCAGATCGGTTTCAGTACCTGGGGAGCTGAGAGCCGGCGGATGAGTGACAGGCGGTGATAGAGATCTCTCCTTGTTTACCTGTCAACAGAAACCCCGCAGGGACCGAATGAATACCCCACTAATCTCTTCCTCTGCTGCCCCTTCATTTAAGCAAAAGATAACAGGGATCAAAAGGCCCCAAGAGAGGTGAGAGTGGGGGGGGGCGGGCTTTGTCCTTTTCCGAGGGAGACTTGGGTGCTTGGAAACCGCCTCCCCCCAGGGGACTTGAGTCCAGGCTCCCACCGGTATCTCTGCAGCCCCGGCCTGGGTTCCAGCTGAGCCTTGGTCGTGGGCACACGAACACGCACACGCACTGCATGTTTTGCAGAGAATGGTGAAGACACGGCTTAGCCCCCGAGCGAGGGCAGGACGGTGTGTGTGAGAAGCGGCAAGGCACCGAAGCTGGAGGCGATGGGGGGCAGGGGAGGAGACAGCTGATGGCCTCACAGGTCCCAGATTGCCACTAGGACATGGTCGTGGTGTGGTCACGTTGGGGCCCCCTCTTGTAGGGCTCCAGGTGGCCTCCCCAGGTCGCCTCTCTCACCTCCACTGCGTGGGACGCCCTGGGACCCAAGTCCCTCTATCGGTCAGGGAACAGAGAACAACAGGGAGGGTTTGCAGCGTCTCGGGGACTTCTCTGCTGGGCTCCCCACGGCATGATCGCACCCTCTTTCACGTCCCACCTCACACAGGGCAGTCTGTCCCATTTTGAGATGTTTTTCCAGAACTGAGCCTGCTGGATGCAAGACCAAGTGCAGCCAGCCAAGGCCTCCCACGGATGAGCCAGGTCCCCCACGACGGGTTGCAAACTCTGGTGGCTCCTGCTGGGACAGCTCCTCAGCAGGGGACTTAGAGAAGCCCTCGTTGGGGGCAGCGGTCTCTGGACACCGGGCACCCCTGCCATGGTGTGTGCGCGTG